TATTCCTAGGGAAAATTAATGCATATTAGAAAAACCTACAGAGTATAAGTGTTAGAATTCTAGGGACAGCAATGAAAACTCTAGTTTGTCCTGTGAGAGAGAACTCCAGTAATAATCAGACTAAGTGCAGAGCACTCTGTGGATGCTGCAAGGAACATCATTTAAAGAAAACTGTGGAGAAATAGCAAACTAAGATGAGCCAATGCACACATCAGTGTTTGCTTTCTGTACTGTGGTTTTTTTTTTCCTGAAATAAAATTTTGGACAGTTGCTAATCACTGCAGCTTCCACAATATTTTTTTCCCCTTAATTTCTGGGAAAAGTAGGGAAGAAGTATAGCTGAAGCATTGTTTGTATGGATATTCTAAACTAAACAATGAAAAGAAAAATCAGGAAACTTAATAACTTGTCTGCAATGTGAGTTCTGGCAATCAGAGAATAGAATAAGTGTTTGGCTAATTAACAGAGACCATGTTTCTTAAAGAATCTTTTGTATAAAGGGATTATATCTTCATATTAGTGGCAGGTTTCAAAAGGGAGCTACATAAGCAGTCTGCAAATAATAATTTTATATGCCTGTCTGTGGGATTCTGGTTGAAACACCAAATTACACGAAGAAGAGAATTTAAATATTTGGATTAATAAAGCAAAGAGGAACTCAAACAGTTCTGAGACCTTGACATATTTAGTTCAAACATTTTTTGTATAACTAATTAGTGTCCACATTAACAAGAGGGAAGTACTGCCAAGTTATATTTTTGTCTACTGTTATTTTGTATGGAAAATGATGGTTAATTGGCTTGCTCAGTTGGTGAATCACCATTTGTTGGCAGAGTGTCATTGGTAAATTGGGTTTGTTTGAGGCTGGGATTCATTCTCTGTAAATAAGGCCAGTAATGATTTTTTCTATAATGGACATGTCACAAAGGAAAAAAAGTTATCATGAAATATAAATTCATTGCTGTTGTCTTTTAAGTGATTGTGTAACCATCAGACTCCAGAAATGCTGTTAGTGCTGAGCCCAAAAAAACTTGCTGCTCTTGCCTCCCAAGGAAAAGAGTGATTTAAAGCTATTGATGAATGAGTTGATCATTAAAAATGACTGTGCCAAGTATTGTTCCATGCTATTTATCAGTGTTTGTTTCCACTAATGGGGTAAAAGGCATAAAACATCTCTACATTTAAAGGTGGTGTTATTGACAGAAGGCTCTTTTTTTTTTTTTTTGAAGTCGGACTAAAGATAAACTTCTTCATAGATGTTACTATCATTATTTCTTGAACTTTTTTAAAAAAAATCTTACATTAATGTCAGCATCGATTCTCTTCCTCCAACATCTTTGTGTTTCTCATTTTTTCTATACTGTCAGCATTAATAGTGGATCTCCTAGTGTCATATATCAGTAGCTGTAAATAAGAAAAAACATGATTACATGGTTATTTGAATTGCTTGTTCTATGCCTTATAACAGAAGATTATTGCTTCCCCATGAGCTTTCAGTCTTTACCTGTTATCACTTTTAGTGTTAGATTTGATCGCTGGTGTTACTTTTTATATTTGTGTTGAGAACAAAAGAAAAATCTCTTGAGAACCAGAAGTTTATGTCTATCCCAGGAATTCCTAACTGTGTTAGAATGATAATATTAATATTATTGGCAACACTTCTTTACCAGCTCTATTAAATTAATTAAGATTCTGCTTCTTCAATGTGAAAAGTTTCATTTAATGGTGGGTTTGATTTGCAGGAGGGTTTTTTTTGTATCTTCTAACCACTTTTTCTTTTTGATAAAATGCTGCTTTGTTGCTGTTACACATTTTTTCACTCTTCTTCCAATGTGAATAATTTTAATACATAAATGCTGTTTCAGAGAGTGAGTAATTTAACCTACTTATATATTTTGATATTATGAAAACACTATTGCTGTTAAACATGGAAAAAAAGAGTTTGTTAGCAAGACAAAATGTAATAATGAACCAGTTTTCCAGCTGTGATCTTATTGGGGATTTGGTATAATTCCTTTGTTCCTGATGACTCAAGATTCCTGCTTCATGTCCTTCCCTGTATTTACATAGATTTCTAATAGAAGTAAATTATGTATATTTTCAGAAAGGTTTTCTTGTTTTGAAATGTAAATGTCTACTTTGATAGCCATTGTGAATGAAACTGAATCAATTTGATTTATTACCTTTAAGTGTAGTCCTAGAGTAGGGAAGTAATTCCTTTTCTGCTGCAGAAATGGGGTTTGGTTCAAGGTTTCTCTTGTCCAGTCTAGTTAATACTGTCTCATATAATGAGCTGTACTATGTAAAGGCATTGTTTTTCCCTTCCAGACCCTTTAGCCAGATTATTGTATTAGACAAATTAACTTCACTTCTGTCTAAATATTCCTTTGTTTAATTTCATCTTGATTATTTCCCTTCAGAGCTGAATTTCTCATGATCATAGAAAGATGTTTTCTTAGCAACAGAAAATCCTTTCAT